TCTACCACAAGCAGCTGAGTAGCTGCTTTAGGGATGTGGTCTGCTTCCCATATATAAGAAGCAGCTTTGGGAATGGTCTCTAGCTTATGGCATGCTCGGACCCTGCATGTAGCCATGTTGTTCAGCAGCCTGCCATGCTCTGCCGGATCTTGGGACTTTCAATGGCCTTGAATGAGTGGCTGGCCATGTTGTTTGGTAACATTGTGACTGTGCCTTTTAACTTGTCAACCTCGGGTTTGTCAGCCTCAACAGCCGGCAGCTGTCTGACTGAAAAAAGCCTCCAGCTTCAGTGGGCCGGGAGCTGAGGCAGAGCTGAAGCCCAAGGTCGCGGGGCTTTCACCCAGCCCTTAGAGCCTGGCACTTTGAATTTGAACTTAAAGCCTCCAAACTGTAAGAGAATAAACTCTTGTTTGTTAAATCCATCCCATTTGTAGTATATATTACTGTCAGAGCAGCACAGAGGTAACCAAAACACCACCTAAAGTTAGGTAAGCTTCATGAGTATTTTTCATGACAAGGAATAATAAAGATATTCACAAATAAACATAAGCTGAGAAAGCTTACTAGTGTTATACTCTAAAACACGTTTAAATAATGTACTTGAAGAATGAAACTAATTCCCAAAGACTGTTTAAATTGCAAGAATTAGTAACACGTAAAATGAGTTGTTGTTGTTATTGTTGTTGTTATGTGCCGTTGAGTTGAAACCGACTCATAGTGACCCCTACTTGGGTTTCCGAGGCAGTATCACTACGGAAGTAGATTGCCCATCCTTCCTTCTGAGGAGTGGCTGGTGGGTTTGAACCGCCAGCCTTCTGGTTAGCAGTCAAGTGCCTTAGGCACTATGCTACCAGAGCTCCCACATAAAATGAGTAAATATAGGTAAAAGCAAATTAACATTAATTAATAATATTAGTGCTTATTTCATTTTATTTATTTTTTTAAAGACAGCAATATTATTTGGGATGTGGAAGAAACCCAAGATAGATGCATGCTTTTTTTTTTGTGCTAAGTGGTGAGGTCATGGAGTGTTTATAATACCATTAAAATGAAACAAACAAATTTGTAAACAAAAAATAAAAAGTAAAATCTAAGATAAAAGATGTACGTTTGTAGCCCAATGAATGCTTTATGAACAAAGGATTATGGTTAAATTAATTCTGTGGCTAGAGGTACTAATGGGGAAAAAAGGAAAGAAGGAAGAAATGAAGCAGTCAGATACTCTGACAAATATTTGGAAACAAGTGAATAATGCATAAGATAGGTCAATATTAGAAACATTTAATAGCAGAGGGGTTATTAAATATACAATGACTTATGGGCTTAATGGAATATAATAGAACTTGAAGATTATGTTTTGAAGCATGGAAGAATATTTTCACAAGTAAAAATGCTAGATAAAATTTTGAAGATAAATATGTTTATAATTATATATAAGAATGCATATTAAATGTTCTTTCTAAGATAAAAATATTGAATGAAAATGGGGTTCAATCTTTGCAGTAATTTTCATCCAGAGGTGGAATCCTGATTTTTTACAATCTTCAAATTTTCTGAATTAAAAAGTTTTTTAGAGATCAGGCAAATACCCCTGCTACGTAGTAATGTACAAGGTCAATAATGTTCTGTAAAATATAAAGCAGTGAAAAATAAAGCACAATGGAATGTAAAATGCTTTGTTATCCATTACATATTTTCCTTCTTTTGGTGAGAAATGGTTGGTAAAACCAAGCAGTTGGTAACTTTCTTCATAAATCCTTACAGTGTACAAACAAATATATGCAAATGAGAAAATAGCAAATAAAAGACAACAATCCTCACAATTGTTAATTTAGCAAATCACATTCAGAATTGAATATTTGATAATGACATCTTTAAAAATAATGACACTCTCACCAAATCTTAATTGGAATAATTATCTGACTCATTGCTCTATCCCTACACAAATTGAGTATGAGCCAAAGCAAGTAAGTAGCTCTTGGCTCTTTCATGAGCATTTCAAAGGAAAGAGGCTCTTACAAGAGATTTTGTCATATCTGACATGAGCAAAGAAAACGTTCCCTAATGTGTATGCTTTAACTATTTTGATGCAATTCTGTCACTTTTTCCATCCATCCTCTGCCTGTTTTCTGCTATCTGTTGAAAATCTTTTTGGAACATTCTTTTCAGAGCTGCTTTTACTTCCTTGTTCTTCAGGCTGTAGACAAGGGGATTCACTAGGGGAGTCACCACGCTGTACTGCATGGAAAAAAACAATTCTAATGAGGAACTTAAAGTTGGCATGAGATAGCGAAGAATAGCAGATCCATAGAAGAAACTCACTGCAGTGAGGTGGGAGGAGCAGGTGGAGAAGGCCTTGCTTCTGCCTGTGGTGGAGCTGATGCTCAGGATGGTGGCAATGATGTGAGCATAAGAGAAGAAGATCAAGAGTAGGGTTCCCAGGGCATGCAGAATGGCAGAGCATATCATGACTGCAAAGTTGATGGAGACATTGGAGCAGGATAGAGGGAAGAGAGAGGGCAGCTCACAGCTAAAGTGAGGCATGGCATGAACCTCACAGAAGTCCAGATTCCAAGCCAGGAGGGTGTTGATAAGAGCATCCAGAAAGCCCAGGCCCCATGAGGCCCACACCAGAACCCTACACAGCTGTTCACTCATGATCTGTCCATAGATCAGGGGGTGGCAGATGGCAGCATAACGGTCATAGGCCATCACTGCGAGCACACAAGCTTCAGTTCCTATGGTAGCAAACACAAAGAAGACTTGAGCCATGCAGCCCTCTACTGAGATTGATTTCCTCTGAGACAGAAGGTTCTCCAGCATCTTGGGCACAGTGACTGAAGATAAACAAAGATCAGTAAAAGACAGGTGATTTAGGAAGATGTACATGGGTGAATGGAGATGTGAATCAACTCTGATTACCAGCAGCATCATCAGGTTCCCTATCATGGTCATGAGGTAAATCCCCAGGAAGAGCACAAAGAGTAGAACTTGGATGCGGGAGTCAGCAGCCAGTCCAAGGAGGATGAACTCAGTTATCGTGCTGTGGTTTCCTAAGGTCATTGTAGAAGATGCTCCTCTGGAATAAACACTGAAAGAAGGATGGAGTGTTCACCTAATCTAGTTCCACTTCAGAGTTTTGATCTAATTCTGTTTTTACATATCTCCCTTTTCAGTGGCTCACCTTTTTCATGGATTTTTTATTTATTCTGTCCACTCCCTGGAATACTTACCTTCACTCAATTGCTGGCTATACAACTCCTGAACAATATGGCTATTTGCTCTTGTGGCTCCTCTACCACCAATGACTCTGGAGAAATCACAATATTATTTGGATGTGTCCATGACCAATTTGGTTCCACCTTCTTGGACTGGCCCTTGTTTGTCCATTCTACAACTCTTCTGGTCAACTGTGTATCCCACACATTTCTTAGAGAAGTGTTTTTAATCACCTCTGTTTTCTTCAGTTACATAGTTTTTCACTTCCCACTCAAAAACTTGCAATGGGTCAATATTACTTTATGATAACATGAATATTTATTATATTCAGACTCTTTATATGTCTCTAATATATTTGGTTCTTTGAAAGGTATGTGTGTTTGTATGTGTGTGTGTGGTGGAGAGTGAGGCTAATGGCTGCTAAATCTATAATTTAACAGTTTTAAAAAAACTTGAGGCTCAAAATTGATAAAAAACTTGTTCAGTGTATTCACTCTAAATGAGCGTAAGGCAAGAGTTTAACCTATTTTCCACTTTGTGACTATTATTCCACAGTTCCTACTGAATGAAGATGAACGACTCTGGGTGGCATTTCAGTTTTAACGAATCTTTGTAGTATCATCTCCTTCTACAGAGATTCTGATTTTCTTGTGTGGGTCTTGGTGATAGGCAGTTTAGAAAATTTCCCAGGTGGTTCTAGAATTCATGCTTTAAATACACTAAGGCCAGGCCAGATTGCCCCTGATGGCCGTGGTAGTTTCCTATTACTTCTTTGACATCAAGTGATAATCTGCTGCAATTTTCTGCTTCTCAAATCCTGACCCAAATCCTATCTTTAATCCTTATCACAATTTCTACTTCCTCTGTCACCTCTATCTTGATTACCTCCTTCTCTGCCTTACAAATATGGAAAATAATGATCCCTATCATTTTTTGGTGTCAATTATGTTCTAGACATTAGTAAACATTTAGCTTTCCTCCTCTTTGGAGAGTATGATGAAACTGTGAAGGGAGCATTATCACAAATCTTAGAATGAGGAAATTTAGGATGAAGGTGCAGTAGTAATTTGTTGGTGTTGACAGAGTAAATGGTTGGATGACTCTGGGTGGCATTTCCTTATATCCTTATATCCATCCTAGGTCTATGTAGCTACATTTTTTTATTTTTTTAATATTCTCATCAGCTGACATCCATTTTCTTAAGCTCTTCTTTTTCTCTATCGTATGTTCAATTTCAGTAGCTTAACCCTCTAAACTCTTTTGTGCTTTCACTTGAATATCTACTTTGCTCTGGCCATTTGCAACCTGTGTTAGCAGGATTTCTTTTTTTTCTTTTTCTTTTTTTTCAGTCAAATTGCCTCTTCCTGGGGCATAGGGAACAGGATTCAATCATCTATATTATCTTAGCTTCTTGAGCAGATATCTTAATGACAGATCCATGATGGTCCTAATCCATATTTGTTAAATGTAGAAAGAATAAAAGGCTAAAGCAAAAAAGACATATCATGTATTCTTGAGGAATATTTCAAGCTTGAATTCAGAAATAGACAAAACTTGGAGGAGACTGGGAAGTGAAAGAGAAAGTAAAGGAAATGTGGGCCAGGGCTGATTTTGTAGTAGCTGTGCAGGGCTGGCAGAAGACTTATCTTCTGTTATACTTAATAGAACTGAAAGTTTCCTTTCCTCCAGGGAGCAGCTCACTTACTAGCTTATTTCTGTCCACACCTAGAGAATTTCTTAAAATCATAACACTTAGTCATCTATCTAAGGAGTTCTGGTAGTATAGTGGGTAAGATATTTGGCTGTTAACCAGAAGGTCAGTGGTTTAAACCCACCAGCTTCTCTGTGTGAAGAAGATGAGGTAATCTACTTCCACAGAGATTTACAGCCTTGGAGAACCAATGGAGTCATTATGAGTCAGAGTTGACTTGATGGCAGTGGGTTAGTCATCTATCCACTTTACAATGTATTTATTAATCCATTAATTTTGCTATCTTTCATTTATCTACTCCTTTATCCATCCCATCTGTCAATTCATTCATCTATCCATCTAGGTCTCTCTTTGCTCATTCATTAATTTTTTCATTTATCTGATTATTCAAATATTTATGGCTTTACTTTGTGTAAAGGCCCTACTTACAATGTTGTTGTGAGGTGCCACCGAGCAGGCTTTGACTCATAGTGATCCTATGTACAACAGAATGAAACACTGCCCTGTTGTGTGCCATCTTCAGAATCCTTGCTATACTTGAGCCTATAATTGGAGCCACTGTGTCAATCCATCTTGTTGAGGGTCTTCCCCTTTTTTTCTGACCCTTTACTTTACCAAGCATGATATCCTCTCTAGGGAATGGTCCCTTCTGACAACATGACAAAGGTAGGTAAGACAAAGTTCCAAGGAGAACTCTGGCTGCACTTCTTCCAGAACAGGTATGTTTGTTCTTCTGGCAGTCCATGATACTTTCAGTATTCTTCACCAACACCACAAAACATTCAAAAACATCAACTCTTTTTTGGTCTTCCTTACTCATTGTCCAGCTTTCACATGCATATGAGACAATTGAAAATACCATGGCTTGGGTCAGGCACACCTTAGTCTTCACAGTGACATCTTTGCTCTTCAACATTTTAAAGAGGTCCTTTGCTGCATATTTGCCCAGTGCAATGTGATATCTGATTTCTTGACTGCTGCTTCCGTGAGTGTTGATTGTCGATCAAAGTAATATGAAATCTTTGACAACTTCAAACTTTTCTTCATTTATCTTGATGCTGCTTATTGGTCTAGTTGTGAGAATTCTTTTCTTTTTTTTAATTTTTATGTTGAGGTATATTCTATACTGCTGTCTGTAGTCTTTAATCTTCCTCAGTAAGTGCTTCAGGTCATCTTCACTTTTAGCAAGCAAGGTTGTGTCATCTGCATATTGCAGGTTGTTAATGAGTCTTCCTCAAATCCTGATGATCCTTTATCTTCATATCGTCCAGCATTTCAGATTATTTTCTCAGCATAATTGAGTAAATATAGAGAAAGGATACAACTCTGACACACTCCCTTCCTGATTTTAAACCATGCAGTATCCTTCTTCTGTTTGAATGACAGCCTCCTGTTCTCTGTACAGGTTCCTCATGAGCACAATTAAGTGTTCTGGAATTCCCATTCTTCCCAATGTTATCCATAATTTGTTATGATTCACACAGTTGAATGCTTTTGCATAGTCAATAAAACACAAGTAAACATCTTTCTGGTATTCTTTGCTTTCAGCCAAGATCTACCTGATATCACCAATGATATTCCTCCTTCCACTTACAATAGATTGAGAAAAAACCTTGCTTAAACTTTGTTGAACTGTCGTGTGGATGCAATTATTTGTCCTATTTTTCAAATTGAATCCGGGGCTGAATTTCTTTCATAGTTATTATTATTATTATTTTTACTTCCAACTTGAAAACTGACTCATCACAATACACTCATACTGTACTCCTTCATGAACCCTCTTACCTTGCATGTTAACTCCTTATGGAAATCTTGGCTCATCCACTTGAATTCTGAATCTATCTTAAATGACCCAGCTTTCTCCTGATACCATGAAATATGACATTGACATTTTGACCATCGACTCAACCATAACAAATGTTATTCCTGCTGGGGCAGCCAATGTCTCAATCCCTGCTATTCATGGATCTGCCTACTTTTCCTATTTAGAGTTTAGGTAAATTTCAATATTCCAAAGTCTTACTAGAACCCAGATTCAGGTTACTGCTCAATTTTGTCTGGTGAGTAATTTTCAGCCTAGCATAATGCCCCAAATTAATTCAGATTCTGCAATGGAGATGGAACGTCAATGTTTTCTATTTTTGAGTTTGTAAAATCTTGTTGAAATAAACAATTATCTGTACTCATCAGCACAAAGTAAACTGGTTAATTGAATCAACTCACTGTAACAGAAAATTTATCATCCATTTAGAATATACTTTCTGAATTTGGTTAGCTACTTGCTGCAATTTTTCCATGTTTATTCTCAGTGTAGACCTGGATACACTCTCATTTCTGTTCCTAGCACTTGGACTGAGAACACTCCAGCATAGCCAAAGGATATTGGAGAAGCTGTGATCTAATATTTGAAAACCCCTATCCCATGCTGAGTGTCCACAAAACCCATGAGCAAGGCAGACAGAAGCCTATATTATGGGATTTCATGATCTGCTTATTCTGGCCCCCAACAAAGATCTGACTGTGACTAAGTGAAGACAAATTTTTATTTCATATTTGTGGTGAAAAGTAAACACACATTTCAAAGTTCTGTTCACTTACCCTGCCAGAAGGAACCCAGTTGATTCAATTTACATTGAATTCAAATGTCTATTTTGAAATTCAGAAAAGGGGAAAGAGAAGGGAAGTTTGGGTGCTTATTTAGACAAGAGCAGAGGATAAAAAAGTGTAGCTCGGGAAATCCTACTAATAAGATGGGTGATTTACAAATTTGCCTAGACAGCTGTGTTTGTGCACTTCTCAAAGAGGTCATTGTAGGTATTTTTTATGTGTTTATGTCAAACATCAAGGAGCTCTGGTAGTGCTGTGGTTAAGGCATTGGGCTGCTAATCAAAAGGTCAGCACAGCAGTTCAAACCTACCAGCTACTGTGTTGGAGAAAATGAGGCAGTCTGCTTCCATAAAGATTTACAGCCTTGGAAACCCTATGGAGTACTTCTACTCTGTTCTATATTGTTGCTATGAGGCAGAATTGACTTGATGGCAGTGGGTTTGGTTTGGTTTTATGTCAAACTGCATCTTAAAGAGAAATGGAGCAAGAGATTGTATTTTTTGGGGGACATTGAAAGAATAATCCC